GCCCTGTCCTGGATCGTCCCGTCCCGTCCCGGCTCCTCCCGCCTGATCGCGGCTTTTCCGTGCCCGTCTCCGTCTCGGCTCGTCCCGCTTGGTCCGGGCTCCTCTCGGCCTGTCCTGACTCTTCTCCCTCGTCCCAGTTCCGTCCCTCTCCATTCCCGGTTCTGTCCCTCTCCATTCCCAGTTCTCTCCCTCTCCATCCCAGTTCTGTCCCTCTCCATTCCCAGTTCTGTCCCTCTCCATTCCCAGTTCCGTCCCTCTCCATTCCCGGTTCTGTCCCTCTCCATTCCCAGTTCCGTCTCCATTCCCAATTCTGTCCCTCTCCATTCCCAGTTCTGTCCCTCTCCATTCCCAGTTCCGTCCCTCTCCATTCCCGGTTCTGTCCCTCTCCATCCCAGTTCTGTCCCTCTCCATTCCCAGTTCCGTCCCTCTCCATCCCAGTTCCGTCCCTCTCCATCCCAGTTCCATCCCTGCAATTCCAGCTGGGAAAGCAGCACAATTCCACATCACCTGCACAGGGTTAATTCCCACACTGTCCCAGCCTGCCCCAGCCTAGATCATTAAAATCACGGAATGCTTTGGATTAGGAGGAATCTCCGATTTGTCTCCTCTATCTGCTGACTTCCACGTGGATTTGATGCTTTTCTTCCTTTCCCTCTTTTGCAAATATCACTTTTCTCAGGCCTCTCTGCTCCTCACCCAAAAAAACCCCAGAACCTGTCCCCAGGTCCCCATGGCACATCCAGAGCTCCAGAAGTGACCTGGGGTTTTTTTTTTGGGATTACAGAGCAGGATCAGGCACAAATCCTGCCCCAGACTGGAATAATTCCACCCACCTGAGTGTGGAATTTGGGATGGGAAAAGAGGAGGAAGATGCTTCCTGGTGGGATTACAGAGGAATCCTGTGCAGGAAAAAAAAGGGAAAAGGAGGCACATCCCGCAGCCAGGTAAACAAGGGGGCCTGTGCCAAAGGCAGCCCCAGTTTGGAGCTGCTCCCGTTTCCCAGTTTGCCCCAGGAATGTCTGTAACCCACTGGGATTCCTGCCAGGGCCCGGCAGCTTTCGGGCTGGCTCTGTCACCACCTGGTCCCTCCTGCTGCCAGGCCCTGGCTGCTGCGTCAGAGTGACAGTAAAAGGGTTTTAAAATCATGGGGATTTAGGGTTAACAGGAAAATTAAGCTCAGTTGGCCCTGGAAAAATAAACACCCTGAGCACATGGAGAACTTGTACTTGCTAGAACTGCACCTGTACATGGTAAATGATATAATTGTTAGATGGGATGATTGTTTAGTAATTGAATGTAATTACTGTTTAATCATAAGTATAATCATGAGAAACTGTGGTCAGGGGACCTAAGATCACGAGAAACTCATGTCAATGTATACAATAGAACAATATAAGTTTAATAATTAATATGTAAGTTATATAAGGACAGAATATAAAATATGTTCAGCTCGAAAGCCGTGTCGGAGTCAGATTTGGGTCTGCACCCCTGGTTCCCAGAGCTCTCAATAAAAGCACCTGCAGATAAAATCACACCTGTGTGCTCCTGAACGCTAACAAGAGCTGCTGCAGGACAGCACAGCAAGAATTAAACACACTCATGTCATTAAATAATTAAACATAGGACACAAAAAAGGGTCACTTCGCTCTCTCCGCTGTCTCTCCTTTGCAGGTTCACCCTGTTCATCACGGGCACACCGAGCTGGCTGGTTTCCCCCAATCCTTTACAAACCCCAGAATTCTGCCACAAGTATCAAGAAACTTCCAAAACGGTTTTGGGAAAAGCTGG